AAGTTGGAGAATTCCTGGGAACTCTGCCTGGTTGAGTTTCATAATGGAAGAAAGGCAGGCTATAAACAACAATAGTTAAATTAAAGTCCACTAATGACTCTTAGGGCTGATGTAGATTTTTGTTTCAACCCACACAGACTTGTAACTTCACAAACACAGACTGAGCTGATTGTGTGACAAAACATGTAAAATTTCCAGAAGTCATGGGAAAAGAAGAAAAAAAACCCAGAAATGGAAATTGAAATACATGCAATACTTAATTTCTTATCAAACCTGAACGACTTTTACTGATTTAGCAACATAAAATACATCATTCATAATGTACCATTTGGCATAGTTATGGAATTTAAAAGCCACGAGGGAGCCTGCCCCAGCAGTAACGCCTTAGTGATCCTGCCAGCGTTGCCTCCACAGTGGCTACTAATACTCCTCCCCCCTCACCATCCTACACTGGACAGGCAACTGCCTGTCAGGTGTAGGAGAGGAGGTGGGATGCTTACAGCCACCAGGGAGGTTTGCTCAGCAGGATTGCTTTAGCACTGCTGCTGGCCAAGCCTCTCCAATGCCTTTAAATATAGTCCCCCCCCCCAACACCAGACAGGCGGGTGTCTGTCAGGTGTAGGAGCAGGGCCAGGGTATGAATGTTTATGGGGAGATAGTAAAGGACATTTCTAGGAGCCATTTCAGTGCATGCCTCCCTCATGAACCTGAAGAAATGTCCATCACATCACCACTCCCTCACACCAACTTCCTCTCACACCTCTCACCTCTTACTGCCCCCAAGAAAGCTCCTGGCAAACGTCGAGCCAGATACTCCAACGCTACAAGGAGGAGGCAACTTAGGAATGTGGCAAAGACATTTGCACATAGTACCCCTGCAGTGCACTGAGCTGCGCAGGCCAAGTACCGGTAAGATCACCCTGAGGTGCTCAGAACAACACAGTCTCCATGTGAGCAAAACAATCCAGGAACACAAGTAGAGAGACCATCACTTTCGTGGAAGGTAGCAGGAGCTGATTTAACAGACGACTGCTTCTTAAATGGACAGTTCTCTGTAGCCTGCTCCAGAGTGAGCTCATCAAGCAGCCTGGTGATCCCAGCACCTGAGGGCAGAACCACCAATGTGGTCTACAGAGAGGTCCTTCAGTAGAGAGAGAAAAAAGTACGTATGTCTCACTTCATTTCTTACACTACAATCTTCTCCATTGGAATTCCTACAATAAATGTCACATTTCAAATTTCACATCATCAGTATTATAACTACATTTACAGAACTTAAATACCGTAGCGAAGCACGGGTAGCAGGCTAGTTTTCCATCTGAGAGGCAGAATAAAGTGAAAACTGAAGCTAAAAAATAAATCCTGTAGTAAACAGAAGAAAGTATGTTTGAACAGAATCTCTCTCATAGAGTTCCAGTAAGTAGGACATACCAGCATGTTTGGATAATAAGGTAAACTTTATAATATTGAAAACACTCACCTCTACAATAATGTGTTATCATAAAACACAGCATATTGTTTCTAAAATTATTTTCATGTATACAAAATAAAATCTTGAAAATGTTGTATATTTCTACATATACAGCATTTTCCATGTTCCCCACAAGTTTCCCAGTTTTTCCACAGGAAAAATTGACAAGCCCTTGGGCAATTTCATACTCCCAGTTTGGAATGAGTGATACTCTTTGCAAGACCAAGTTTTTCTCCATCAACTAGGCATGTGCAATTTTTTGTTTGTTTGTTTGTTTCCACTTCAGGTCTGTTGGACCCAGAAAATATCAATATTCCCAAATACCAATATCAGTTTTGTATTGGGATTCTGGTAAATATTCAGGATACCCGAATTTATCTGGCTTCATTATACCCTGTGGGGACTGTCCTCACAGGGTATAATGGAGAAGGGATTTAAACTTTAAATGCTTGCTGAGTTCACTTGGCAAGTTGTGCTGTCACAGCAAAACTCTGTAAGTGAACTAAGCAAGCATTTAAAGAGACTGTGGTCTCTTTAAATATCTCATAGCCATGCCCAAATAAAAGCCAAATAATATTTCATTAGCCTTCTTTCTTACTCATTGTTATTAATTATGGGCTAATAAATGCTTCTAGGGGGGAGACCCATCTTGGAATTTTCCTATAAAATTTCTCTTTTATATTACTCCAGACTTTATTCGGTGCTCCTCTTAACAAATGTCTTCCAAAATTTAAATGGATTTTATCTTTTCCGTACCATATATATGTGTGCCACCCCATGTACAAATCATGTCCTTCCAGTGCAAGGATCCCAGTATTTTCCAAAATAAGCCATTCTTTTATCCAAACTAGGGCGGCCGCTTGATAATATATGTACCAATTAGGAACATTCATTCCCCCCCTTTCCTTTCTATCCTGCAAAACTTTCCATTTTGTATTGCCTCTTTTATTGCCATATGAATTGTCTTGTAATTTCTCTATCTGTATTCAATCTGTATTTGACTGAATCAATACCTGAAAAAATATCAATAAGTTAAATTTAAGGTATTTATTTGGCTCAGTATATACTGAGCACATACCCCTACTGTCAACAATAGATAATATTTCATAGAAGGGCTGTTGGGGGGGTTTATATTCCCCCAGTTTTTCCACTGGAATTTTTAAAAGTCCAATTTTTTTCATGCTAGACATTTTTAGTGTGAGAAACCTTGCCTTAAGAATCATTTTTCAGAAAGAAAGAAAGAAAGAAAGAAAGAAAGAAAGAAAGAAAGAAAGAAAGAAAGAAAGAAAGAAAGAAAGAAAGAATCATTTTTCTCATTCTGGAACACTCCTCTCTCCCTCTCTTCTTCCCCCAGTCTGATTGCCTATAGTTCTTTATCCTGTGTAATTTTCTCCCAGCCTGCCTCTATGACCAGAAGACCTCAGACACATTTGCAATGACAGCCAGCATGGTGTGGTGGTTAGAGTGTCAGACTAGGACCTCTGAGACCCCGTTGCGAATCCCCACTCAGTCATAGGAGCTCGCTGGGTGACCTTGGGCCAGTCACATGCTCTCAGTCTATCTATCTTACACAGTTGCGAGGAGAGGAGGAGGAGGAGGATGTAAGTCACTCTGGGTCCTCATTGGAGAGAAAGGCAGGGTATAAATGAAGCACATATATATGTATGTTTTTTTTACAATGGATGGATGGATGGATAGATCCACATAATGTCATTTTACCTGCAGCCTTAGCTGTTAGATCTCCAGAAAGAAATTTGAATTTTCCTTGCAGACAATTTGGACACTGTTTGTCCTACAGGGGGGGTTGTCACCATGAACACTGCCCAAGGGCTCTGATCTTCCCACTTCCTTGCAAATCAGGAATAGGTACTCACGTTCCTACTATTAGATTCACACAGGTGAGACAGGTGTGTTCAAAACAACATCCATTTATTAGCAAGGAGATACAAGGATGGGAGCAACTGCTTTAAGGACCAGGAAGCTCATGTGGTCTACAGTTCTACTTCACAAGCAGAACTAATGAAGAGGGACTCCACCCCAAGAGACTAAACCAGCTCACATAAATATCAGAGGAGGCAACAGACTGCTCCATTGTAATGTATACAATACATACACCACAGGCTCAGGAAGTTGTTGAGGCCCACAAAGCCATAGCGCAGGATATTGGACCTAGCCAGACCTCGTACCATCTGAGAGCAGCCATTGATGTGTCAAGAGACTCTAAGGAGCTTTCAGTAACAATGCCTTCTTTCTGCTGGACAGTCAAAGAACTTCCATAGGCCTAAAGGCCTGCCAAAGGTGGAGCATGCCTGGTTTGTGAGTGAAATAATCTTCCACGTTTTTACTTTTTAAAAAAGCGTCTTGCAAGTTGAGCGTATTTGCTGTGCGATGATGGGGAAGAGATGGACACAGAGTGTGAAGGAGCCGAGTCATCGGGTTTCTTTGCTGGAGTTGCACTTTCAGAGGAAGGAAGGCTTGCAGAGATGTGTTTATAATGTTTGTTGTATGAAACAGCTTTTGCCGTGCAGCCAAATGGGGGGGGGGGGAGCATCCCTTCATGTTTAGGTACCAAGTAAGGCGGCTGAGTCTCCTCCTGCTTCGATAGATATCTGAGGAAGGGACCTTTGACTTTCAGAAGCTTATACCCCCCAAAATCTGAGGTGCTACGGAACTTGAATCTAACTGCTTTAGTAGGAGATCTCCTGCTCCCTGCCAGTTGTGGCTCCTACTGCTTCACTGGGTGGTAGAGGGAAAATGCTGGGGGGGATTGGGGAATAGGTGTCGTGTCATGCCGATGCATGACCTGGAAGTGATGTCATTGCATTGTACAACAGTCTAGTGTTTGCTCAGAACTCTATGGTTAAAATGTATGATTTGCACTGGAAGTGATGTTAATACTTCACCAGCAACATAACATTGCTAGTGAGGGCCAACCCCCCCCCCCCAAACTGTAAATCTCCCACCAGCAACCCTAGTGCCAAGGAATGTGTGAGCTTTCACTTCTGATGAGCTGTATATGGATAATCTTTGCATATGTATTTTCAGACATGTTTGCATTCTAGGGACAGTGGCTTGAATAAATACTGCAAAGTATGGTTTTACACCAGTCTAAAATGCCCCCCAAATCCTGTTCATGGGGTTTTGGGGAACATCCTGGGTTGCCACAGGAGAGGAGAGGCAGGAAAATCCCATTGGGGGGAAGACAGGGATACTACTCTAGATCCAATCTAGTACCTTTACATTATCTTTTAAGCTTCTACGTGTTCCTGAAAGTAGGCCCTGGGGTGGTTGTTTTATTTAATTTGTTCCCAACTTTCCCAGTGTATGGTTTCAGCATTAAGTCTCTTTCCTGGAAATGGACAAGAGTTTATGTTGTATTAAAATTAGCCTCCAAAGGTGCTCCTTGAATTCCCACTTTTCAATAAGCCTCCCCTAGCGTAGCTTTGCTGGGACAGGCAAGCGAGTGAAGCCGCCGTTGGCTCCCCTCCCCCCAACGGGACTGACACCTTTCTCTTTTGTTCCCTCCTAGGCTAATGGAGGTTGGCAAGATGCTACGACTCCCTCGTCAGTGACTTCCCCCACAGAAGGCCCTGGCAGCGTCCACTCTGATACCTCCAACTGATCTCCCAGCAATGCAGCATTTCTTTCCCCCCCCCCCCCCATCCTGCTTCCAGGCAGAGGTGGGAGCCGAGAGGGGAGGGGTTTTCTCTCCTGCTGTTGAAGCCATCGGGCTGGATCCAGAACCGGTTGGCGAACACAAGAGTCTCCTTCTCTTCTCTCTGTTGGGATGCTTTTTTTTCCAGCCAATCCGGACTCTTCTTTATACTCTCTTCCCTTTCTTTTCTGGGTAGAAGCCACCTTCCACCACCACCTTCCACCACCACCACCATCAAAACGAAACAAACTAACAAAACACTTCCCAAAGTATTGGTTCGCTTCCATGAATTCTGTGTTTCTTTTGAGGATCCAGTCTTCACGTCGCTTCAATCTCTGCTGGGCCCTCTCGCCGCCTCCTCTTCCTCTGGTGTTCTCACTACCTCTTTGCAAGAGCCACTTCAGCCCTCCCCCTGGCCGAGGAGCACCACTCCCCCGCCTCTTCCACGCAAGGACAGGTCTCTGTTCCACTGAAATCTCGAACCCTTGTGAGTTGCCTCCAGGAAGTTCTCTGTTACAGGCTGGATAAATGCAATCCTGGTTCTGCAAGGTGTGTCCGCAGCATGCCCAGCCGTTTGCCTCTGTTGCCAAGAGGACCAGGAGGATACTAGCAGATCTACTCCTTGCCATCTTTCTCTGCCTTGCATCAAGCCCCTCCCCCCCCAGTCATGTCTTCCGCCACTTCTCGCGGCTGCTGCTGTTCCACAGTCCCCCCCCATATCATAATTAGGCCTGTGAATACTTTTTGCACCAAGGAAGTGCCCATTTGGTGCTTAGAATAAAATAATGTGAATGCAGTGCATTTGGATAGTATGCTTCCTTTGCATAATTATTTATTGTTCTGATATCTGTGTCTTTAAAAGAGTTTGGGGAAATGTTTGGAATCATTTGAAAATAGTTTTTGAGGTTGGATCATAAAAAGGATAGAAAAGCTGGCAAGATTGGGGGGAAAGGTAAACTTCAGAAGAGGCTGAGAGACGGCGAGCGTGCAAAGCACTATGTCATGGTCAGATTTTCAAACATCCTCTAGGCATGGCAGATGTGTTTCCAGGTGATTGTGCCCAATCGTGAGGCCTAGAAACTTTCATTTTTAAAATACGGGAGATCTCAGGCTGCCATATTCTCATCAAGATATCTAGTTCTGGTCTTGCGCAGTTAATCTGCAGACAGGGCAAAATACAGCATGGATTACAGTTCTTCGTACCAAGGGTTGTTGCATCGGTAAGAGGAGAAAAACAGAGTCCAGCTCCTGAAAAATGAAGGACACCAAACCAGGTCTCACAGATGCACACTGCATTTTACCACAGGGGTACAACTAATAGGAGATTGGGCTTGTGTGGTTCTGCATACTGCTGACCAATTTCTGTGTAGATCCTCACTTCTAAAAATCTAATTGTTTTCTTGGTCTTGCAAAAAAATTAGAGTTTTGACCCATCCTTTTTGGGAAGAGGTGCGCTTGCAAGGTTTCTTCCAAGTTTTTTCACACACACACACACACAAAGATTTAATAATGACCAGATGAGGAGAATAGGCTTTGGCCTATACAAACCGTTCAGGTCTTACAGTTAGAAGCTACTCAGAGCAATTAAAACAAATATGCAGATAAATTACCGGAGGGTAATCTTAAGCATGTTTGCTTGGCGTCGCCATCTTGGAACTCTTCTGAGGAGGTTAATCCCGTTCAGGTCTTAAGGAAAGATGTTTTGACCATTGGAAAAGAATACTGAAATGCATTCTTTGCATACTGGATTAAATTATTGCTTTTTCCCCAGAGGCAGCCCCCCTTCCGCTGCCAGAACGCAAGATGAGGTGGCTGCCTCAGCCAGTGAATTCTGCACATTATTAAGAGCGGCAACCTGGAATAGCAACAGAGAGCTTATTTCAGTGAGGGCTGGACAGGACAAGTTGACGCGGGATTTTACCTCATGCTGACTAACAAGTGAAGGGGTGCCGTTTAGATTTTCTACCTCAGCCACCCAGACATCTTAGGCCAGCCCTACTCATGCTGGTAAGGGGATTGTAAAACAAATGTGTCCAAGGTGTTCTCTCACACTTCTGGAGGGACGCAAACCAAGCCTAGCTATGTGTTATGCCATGGCCTTTTTATTTAAAGGCACAAACGGCTGCTCACAGGAGTTAAGGGATGCTCCATCCAAGCTCCGAGAGTCACACCGAAGATCCATGTCCTCCTGAAAGAGCAAAGGGTCAGGTTGTGGCCCTGAAGGTTTCTGTGTGTGGGTATGCAGTCAAGATTGCCTGATATTGATTGTTTATAACTTAACCGTCTTTAGCCTCCATATCATAATCTCATTCAGGGAAGTTTAAGAGGATTTCCCCCCACCACATGCCCCTTCAGTGCAAATCTGTGTAAGACGTGAGGGAATTCAAATGCACATTAGTGGTTATTATGAGTTCAGAACCTGGAGGTGGTCGGCAGCCCCGACTGAGTGAGAGTGTGGCCTGGAGACACGCCATCTGTTTGCAAAGAGTTCAGCCCTCCTGGTTGGCTTCCTTACCTGTGGCAAACAGAAGTGTGCCTTGGTTTCTAAGCCCAGTTCAGTTCTTGAGAAGTGAGACACCATGAGGGCAACTGTTCCGTGACAGCCGGGGGGCTCCCCACAGAGAAGAACGTGGGTTGGGGGGGAGGGGGGCATAGAGGACGTGCATCAGTGCTGTGTAGCCATTCAGGATATGCGAAGCTCTTTTCACAGCTGCTTCTGTACCGATATTTAGGTCCCTCATGTTTCATGATAGCATATGACAAGGCCTTGTGTTGAACATCTACCTTGGTCGCACCTGAAGAGACCAAAACACGTTTTGGAGAATGAGCTCTCAAAGGTCAACGCTCCCTTTGTCAGCTGCTCCCTCTTGGTCTCTCAGGTGCTCCTGGACCTGAACCTGGCTGGTCTGCCCCCTGAACCTGCCTTGTATAGAGTCAGGCCACTGGTCAGTCCAATCCAATAGTCTTCCGCCTTTCCAGACCTGGGAGCCACTGAGCTGCAAGCAGGTGACAGGAAGTCATGTGACACCAGGGTCATGCAAGAGGAAGAGGGGGAGCTAGAGCTATGACCTCACCAGTGTCAAGTCTAAGACCTGTGGACAGCCAATCAAAAAACCTGGGAACAGGACAGAGGAAGGACCGAGGCATGAGCCTGAGCCATGGAGACGTCTTCACCATTTGCTGTCCTGCTGTGCTTCTCAGCATGTCTGCAAAGAGAACCAGAAAGACATGGTGGCCTTACTTTGTATACAGCAGGTCTTTCCAAGAAGGAGCCAAAGAAATGGCACTTTGTGAATGGCCCACAGCCCAGGTGTTGAAGACTACTGATCTAGCCCACATCTTCTGAGATACCTGGATGCCCTTGTGTTGAAAGGAGTCCAGAGCATTGCAGTGTCTTCTTCACATGTGGTAGTTGATACCTCTAGGGATGTGTGAATGCCTGAGTGTGCTCATTTACTGTCTTAATGTAATTAAGCATAATGAGTGCAATTGCAGTTGATTGCATTACTTGTGTGATCTTTTCTCTATCAAACTAGCCTTTGTGTCCTAAACTATAATGTATGAATAAGAGGCACAATCCACTGGAAACGTATCTTACTCAATCCCAATTTAAATTTGTGGTCACAGAGTATTGTTCATCAGGCTAACTGTATTTCAAGCAAAGATCTGCATTGTAGAATGTCAATTGCTTTGCAGTAGAGACCACATTAAAAATATATATAGACAGAACTGCATTTATCTGCCTGTAACAATATACCTTCCTTTTCTGGTCTGTCCTGGTATGGTACTAACTCCTTCGTGGTACATACAGTGGGGAATGGTTCTTCTCCTATCCAGATTTCCTATTTTTTATTGTAACAATGATGAATATTGGTTATTTTTTGATGACTTATGAGTTGCCTTTTTCTCATATGCTTTTTTCCCCCCTGCCCAGAAAAAAACCTGACTTCGATACCAAAAACGAAAAAAAATTAAAAACTGCAGAAACAAAAAACATAAAAAGAACTAAAAAATTTAAAAATTCAATTCTTTCAGCTTTATTAACATTTTCCATTGTTTCTTGCAATTTGTGTCTTGTTCTTTGTAGTATTGATGATAATGAACATTTGATAATGAATGTTCTTGTATATTCAGATAAAGGGAAAAAAACCAAAAAAGCAGTCTGAATTTAATAGTGTTTATAATAAAAAAATTAAAAAGTCACCCTCGTGGCACGCATCCAAGGACGGGCCGTCCCCCACCTTGTCCTTTCTGTGGCAAAAAGGCGCTTCATACACCTGTATGGTTTTTAACACCAAACTACCTGCATTCACCCTTCTTTTGTTTCCATTTTTTAAAATTTTCATGCATTTGTGAATTAGTTCAAGAATGCTAGAAAAGTGTAGAGTTGTGCACACTCATTTCCTGTTACACAATGTTTAAAAAAGAAGTGACAGTAATTCATTTTGTAAAACTTTTTAAAAAATTGTTGGGATAGTGAGCATAATAGGGACACCTAATAATTTATGTTTACTAATTTTGAGAACCAGAAATTGTTGAGTTTTTTTTAATGTTTTGCATTTTTTGAAGAGGGGCTTTTATTTTAGGGCCCAGTTTGCCAAGACGTTTGCTGACAGAAGCCTCGCTAAACTGAATGGGAGCCACTCTGTTCATTTTAATGCAGCTTGACTAGCAGCAGTTCTCTGTGGATTGGGCCCTTAATATATATTTTTATTGTCAAGACTATGGCCTTGAAAAAAGTCCCTTCCCTGCTTTCCCACTCCCTCATCCTTTTCAGTATGTTCAAAGTGATGTGAAAAAAGGAAAAGATTTCAAAGGGAGGTTTTTTAACCCTGTATTTGCATGAGTTGGTTGTTTAAAAATAAATTTGATTCCCTCATCAACAGAATGCTTCAGCAAAAGCCTAAAAACCAGCATTGCAAAATGAACAAAGAACCTGAAACCTGGGAGACTCCTTGTGAGCATTTTAAAGTAGGAAAGATAGGGTTTCATAGGGCATTTTCCCCCCTTTGAAAACACAGACAGCAGCGTGGGAAGCCTAGGTTTGATTAGCAAAACTGAGCGGCAGTGAAAAGGTTAAGCCTTCACTCCCTTCCTCACATGCAGAGACCACGCTTAGAGATGCATATTCTTGGAAGCAGACTGTTTTCTCGCAGAAGCCAGTAGGGCTTGCCCAGTGTCTCAGCCCCCTACGTCATAATGCAACCAGCTAGCAAGTTCTAAATAGTACAGAAGAAGGGGGACCCGCGATACTCGGGGGGGGGAGAAGCTCCATAGGAGAAGGAAGCAGCCGCAGGTGAGCCTTCTCCTCTGTCCCCCGGCACCCACGACAAGGCCTGTGCCCCTCCAAGCTTCCCCCCTCCCCTAGCAGCGGCGAGGCCTTGAAGGCCCGCCTGCCAAACTTTCTCCCCCCCACCCAGGCAGCAGCAAGGGCTGATCAGCTTATAGCCGCCCGCCTGCCAAGTCTTCTCCCCCTCCCCCTCTCTGGTGGTGGCAGTGGCGAAGCCGTTCTAAGAGCATTACATGCACTTGCGCAGGGGATGCTCTTTTACTTTTGGGGGGATTTAATTATCCCCCCCTATATTTTTTTACAGTTTTCAGATTTTTCTGCACACCTGGGCATTGCCCCACATGCGCAGGAAAATCTCCCTGCCCCCCAGGTGCCCCCGATGTATGGATTTAGATATCCACACACAGGGGGCGCCTTGGGAATTAGATATATAGATTGATGCTACTCTTGCCAAGTTAACCAGGGGACAGTTTGAGCTCAGGTGGTGTGTCGTGGTTAGACTGTTTGACTGGCCGTCTCTGGGAGATGCCATGTGCCATCTCTGTTGCCACCATACTTCAAAGGGACCTGCAGCAGCAATGGCGATGCCTGCCATTTGAATCCCCACTTGAAGCTCATTAGGGGCCATTGTGGGACCAGCCAAACCTACTTCACAGAGTTGTGAGAATAAAACAGCAGGAAGGACCTGTGTGTGCTGCCGCGAGCCCCCTGGAGTGCAGGCAAGAGGGAAATGTGCTGGGTACGTA